GGAATGAAAAAGGCCCAAATCAGAGCCTTGAGATAATAGCAAGAGTTGACCAACTGTTCATCACCAGTGAGCGGATATTTTTAAAGAAACTCAGTAGCAGTTACAGTGAACCTGGGACAACCTTGTCACATCCTGCAGGCCGACTTTGTCATCTTACCATTCCTTCTTGTCATCTTCTACTCCACACATTCCTCCAATCTGAATCAAGATCTACTAACAATACAGTAGATACTGAGTGATCCACTACTTCAGTACATCTCAAACTGTCCTCAGGGTTACTGGAAATGAAATATCACCTCTTTGCTAGATCCTATACTTGCTGATAAATTCCAGGTAAGTGCAGCAATGCACAACAAGCCTTGGGATGATTCAGGCATCCTCCAAATCAGGAGCTGCAAGGGCTTAACAAGGTCATGCAGATACTCCCAACAAGGCCTCCCAGACTAGAAAGTTTAAATCATTCTTCCTTCAGAGCCACTTAAAAAGTATGTTTATTTTCTTCTAGTGAACATGAAAAAAAAATCCTTAGCCTCCAAAATTGCAAACAACCGCCTTCTTTTTTTTTCTGTTTAAAAATAAGAAAATTGGGGTGTGTACTGTTTGCTGTCTCAGGTCTTAATCCATAGGGAGTTAAACAAGGTCCATACTTTCATACATTTGCCATGTTCTGGAAAATTGTTGTTTTTAACTGAAAAATGGTTTGTTTGTTTTTTCTCCCTGAAACTTCCAGGTCTAAATATAGACCTTCCAGAAAAAAGAACTGTGACAATATCTGACAAAAATTTCCATCATACCACGTCAGGATTCAAAATAAGGTAGTCTGTACCTAAATGACCTAGTGACCATGCATATCCTCATTTGTAGCACAAAGAATTAAGCAAAGATACATCTTTTCTGATGAGACCTGGAGTTTATTAGGGTGATGCAGATCGGTGCCCCATAATCTGTCTGTTCTCCCTGTAGCTGGACAGTTTCAGCACACATCACCACCTCTCACTGCCATGACATTTAGTAACCTATAGGACACAACTATCAGATTCAATGGGTGCTATTAAAGTGCTCATACGGCATTCCCACAATAAACATCATGCTGCTCAGGACAGGCCTTGTGAACGTCTCCAGGATCATGCACAGCTACATAGCAGGATGATGTCACTACTACAAGATAAAATTACTGTAGAGCATAGAACAGCATCAGTGCTCTAAACACGGTCTCACATCAATTTGTACCAGCAACACACTGCAACATAACAGCAATGTTTTACTGCCCTGAGGCATGCAGCTCACCTCAACACCTCTGAGTGCTCTGTATTTGTTTTCCATAAAAACATGCTGCATGGCTTCTGAAGCCTGTTACTTCTGCATCATCAATATCACTTTATGTCTCACACCCTGAAGCTTATCTAGTGAACGAGATACATTGTCTTGATACACTGCTGTGTTTTTTTTCATTGCTGTCAAGTTGTTGAATGCAAGGCATGGCCCCTGGCCTCCCTTTTTCCCTCCAGAGATGCCAGATGAAACGTCAGCTTTAAAACTAAGCAAGCAGTAGTACTTGAGGCAGCAGCAAGGACAGAGGAGGCATAAGGCTGATTAGATGACAGCTCTGAGGACAAACTAAACAGTGAGACAAAAGAAACCTAAAAAAATCCTTTTGTAAATACCAAACCAAGAATTGTCTCAAAGCTGAAGGAAAAATAGGTGATCACAGAGATACAAGAGAAGCAAAACAAAACAATTATTTAGAGGAGAGGCCAGGAACAAGATCAGCTTATTAGCTCAGCCATGAATCTCACAGCTCTGACCTGTGTATGAGTCATTGTAGGGCCCTCAATTTAACTGTAGGATTTGAAGCTCCCATCCACCAGCTCAGCTGGGACAACTGCCAAGCAGTCACAGAGGAAGACAGGCTGACTTAGCTCTGAGCCATGGGGCTAACCCAACCTGCAAGTGTGCAAACACCACAGGTCAGATGATGTAAACACACTGTAACTCAGGTGTCTAAGTACTGACAGAAAATTAAGCTGTGTTCTACAGCCATGGGTTTCACAGTGCCACAGAATATTTTGCTAATACAATAGGTTCTGACTTAAGCAGTCACATGTCAGTACAAGGACAGTAATTATATGATCAAAAAATTATATGATCCTCTCTTTAGGGAGATCTATAATAGCTGTTCCAATAGTCACAATACCCATGGCATATGGCAAAAGACAGAAGGAAAAATCAAGTTAGGAACCTTTACATGGGAAAAATCACAACCAGTTGTCAGTTAATTAAACTAACTACCTCTGAGGCAGTGATGTATATACCTAGACTCTTAACAATGATTGAAGAGAAAAAGGCATGCTTGAGGCCTGGCTTGTCTCATCCAAAACTAGACACATAAACAGGTCAGAGGTCTAGAAAGGGAGCTATGGGAAGTATTTCAGGTGAAACTGTCTGCTACGGGCATCTGAGGGCACGTTACAGCAATACCAGTGCTTGTGTGTCTGTTTTCTGTGATGAACATGAAAGTTAAGCACTATACAGTTACCAATACCACCACAAAACAGGTGAGAAATAGATCTCAGATTTGTATTGAAAAAGGAATGGGAGGAAAATTTTTGCCTTTATCCAAATATGCTTCTGAAAAGGGCAGATTCTGAGCTCTTCTAAGCTCAGATAGCACCATTTCATTTGAGTGGTGAACGAAAAAGGGGATCTGAGTTACCATTTTGTTTGCAAAGGTCTCAGAACTATCGCTTCTGAGGTTTCTTCCTCTTTACCCTACTTTTTCTGTCCTACATTTTTCATTATTCAAATAATTTATTTTAAAAAGCAAATAACACTATTGCCTGAAAATCTGCTAAATGTGTGCTCCTATGCAAAGCGTTATTTCTAGAGTGACTAACGTTTCCAAAAGTCACTTCTTTCAGCTTATTCAATTGGAAATTAAAATGATATGTACTGGGATTTGGGCAATAAATGACTTCCCATCAACAGCACCTTCTCATCAGTAGCTGAAAATACTATTACACCCCTTATCTTTTCTCTTGACATACAGTTGCTTTCCCAACCTACAAAACAAAGACATTAAGGCTACAAGATATTCTAATTAATTTTCAAAACATAAGACTTTGTGTTAAGAGACTTGACCTGAAACAACTTGCAGAATTGGTTTGCCAGCAATCTGTATCCCCACTCCTATCCTTACAGCTCATGGCAGGAAATTGCTACTTCACCACATCTCCCAGGTGCAGACAGCAGAAGCTAAAGCCATCCAGAGGAGAAACTAAACAGTTCTTCTCTGCATTTCAGGACAGGTCTGTGCTCCTCTTGCATCCTTTTAATTTAGGCTTGTAATTGAGTTCTCTGAAATAAATCGCTAAGTGGTTTTGGTGTCAGGTATAAACTGTCAGGAATGTGAAAATGTGATACAAAGGAGAATTTTAATAAATAGGATAAAGGCTGAGAGAATAGGTCAGGAGAAGAGCTCAAATGACAGTACGTCTCATAAAAACTCCTCCAATCTAATATCCTGTCTGCAGAAGCGGCCTTTAGAGCACGCTTAAGAAGGATAATAAGGAATGTGGAAAAATATAATAATCCTTCCTCAAACAGTCAGCAGATTAGAGATCACTAATTGTCACAGGGTTTAAGGGAGCGAGTGACAACACGGCTCCATGGTACCAATGCAGCATAAAGAGTTGGGTAAACCATTTGCTTCTCAACAGCACATTTCACTGTGGGAGAGATCTCTCTCTTTAGCAACTACTACAATAAATGGTCTCTGTAATGTGACAGTGTCCTGAATCTCATACAGTCCAACATAGGCAGACCTTTCTCTCAGTGGAGACCATAAATACTGAGTTGGTTGAATAATATTTAAATGCTAATAGAGAGCAGTTCATACCGCAGAGGTAATCAGAAAACTTTAAAGATGCCACTTATTTTGGAGAGCTCATTTAGCCATTACTTCTCCATTACACTCTCCCAAATAGCCTACTGCCCTCTCCCATCTAGAAATGCTGCTTAACAACAAGAGCCATCATTCTGAGGCAAAACAGAGGCTAATTGCGCCCATAATCTGCCCCTGTCTAGCCAACATCCTATACTTCAAGCAAGAACAGAAAATCAGGGTGATTATGAAACATATGCACATATGGCATTGCCCTCACAACTTTTGCCTACTGAAGTCTTCCACAAGCAAGTACGTAGCCAGACCAGAAAGTTCAACAAATATTCACGGACTTATTATCCCTGCATTGGTCTAATCCTTTTTAGGGCTACAAGCTCATTTGACTCAATTCCACAAACACACAAGCTGATACAAATTAACACAGAAAATATTTCTTCATAAGAAATGAAGCAGACAGTGCTGTGTATTTGTCTTCCTTACAAGGAAATGCTATGCTAAGCAGGAAGAAAGTCAGTCCCAAGGAATAATGACAACTATCACTTGAGCATACAACTGTTACAGGGAGCACCAAATTACCATTCTCCTCTGTGGGGAATCCTGGCTTACACCCCTGATCTGGAAGACATTCAAAGAGCAGTAGAAGAGCATGGAAGAACATGAAAGCAAACCTGTAATCTCAGTGTACCATAGGCATTAATTAACCTGGCTGCCATCCAAACTGCTGGCATCAAAATCTGCTTATCTGGAAGCTGCACATTTCAGCATTTCTGCAGACGCTACTACACACAGAGGCACTGCACTGCACAGGGGCAGTGGGCTACCCAAAAATAAGAAAAAAAGGCAGAAATGGAGGAACACTGAAAATTATTACAGTGCAATCAGAAGATCTGTTAGTAGTTGGAAAAACGTTATATGAAGAAATGGCACATCTGAATAAAGCAGAGGTTGCATCAAGAATGTAATAAAAACAACTTTGGAAAAACAAGCATGAACAATCTCTAGAGAGAATACACCACAGTCAAGGAGCAATTGTGCTGGAGCCAGAAAGGGAGAACAGTTCAAGTATTTGTCTCTGAAAAGGAATTGTTTTTCTACATACCTGTCCAGTCTCCTACTATTTTTACGTGGACCCCAAACGTTGCTTTGGTATCTGTAGGGCACTAAAAATATTAAATATATTAAGGACCACTTCTGGTTAATAAAAAAACAAAAAATTGCATTCAAAGTACAGTTGTTAAGACAGAATGTGGTGTAAATAGGTCATTCCTGAGCAGCCACACCAGCAGCCATACCATTTAAAAAGCAAGTCTATCATCAGTACAGTTAGGGATGTCAAGCACGTCTAGTCTCCAATCAGACTTAACCCTTTCTTCTGGTCACAGAGGAGTTTTGACGTTTGCTTGGGGGTGTGATTTGGAACAGTCCCTTCACTAAGCGTTACTCAGAAATTATACGAACTGTAGGTACAAAAGCATGGAAATACTCACTCTACTATCAACACTTATCACTCATAATCAGGAACCACCCCATCACTCCTATTTCAAGGCTTTTAAGAGATTTCTGGTTCTTGAACGTCAGAGTCCATGTTTTCAAACTGATCATTCTCACACAACTGATGCTTTCCTCTAAATGGAAACTGAGATTTTGCTGCACTCCACAAGAGCTTACAGTTTGCAAAGGAAAAGCACCATATTGTGCGGCACACCATAAAAATCACTGTCTAGCCACCATTCTCTCACTCTGCACGTACACCCTCACCTCAGGGTTATTTGCTTGCGACTATTAACACAGGAATGCTATTATTTATAGTCTCATCCACATCATGGTATCTAAAAACCTCCAGACAAAGGTCTAAGGTGCCCCCCAAGTTTTGTTTCTTGTTAGCTACAGGGGCATTTCAAATGCACTGCCTGGACAGCTTTTGCGGGTATACTAAATAATTGCACACATAAACAGGGCAAGTAACTATTACTCAAGAAAAGATTCAGTGCTTTTCTTCTACAAACCAACACCTTTGATTTTTTTTTTTTGATAACAGATAGTACTACTGAATTTTGATGCCTTTCTTAGAACCTGTTAATGATTGATTCAAGCTCCATCATGAAACCAGTACTTAACAGGTGATGCTCCTGGCTCTCTTTTTTTTTTTTCCTACTGCTAAAGACAAATTATGAGTTCTGAGGAAAGGGCTTAAATTCAAGAAACACATCTATATTATAAATAAAAGAGGTCCAGGTAGCAAATCCAACCACCAAATACTCAATCAAGCACTATGCTTATGAAGACACTTGGCTCCGATGGTGTTCCCAAGATAATCTGTTGTGGAGTGCAAAACAACTGGCCTCAGGACTGAGCGTCGGTTCCTTATTTAACAGCAAACAGATAAAAGGTTAGTACTATCTACACCTTGGCAAACCTAAACAGGGAATACAAAGTCCCAGCTAGTCACTCCATTTTCCTGAAGGGGAAGAGCACTCTTGTTAAGATTGCTGATTACTAAACATACTCACATTTAACTTCTTGTCATCTTCCAAGTTTTCCTATAAAAATGGGGTAAAGAAGCCTAGAGTCCCAATTATTTCAGCAAGTTTCAGACTTCAAAAGCAAAACGGCATTAAAGGAGGGATGCTGGCAAACTTCACAAAATGAGGCCATGATTTGATATGCCTAGTTGCAACGTCTTCCTACAAAAATATCAAAGACCAATTCTCCATATAAAAGCAGGTAAGCAGCCTCTCAGGTAGAAAGTTGTGTACTGGCAGTAAAAAAGGTCTGTTCTCCTGGAGGTTTCTGTAAGAGCCTTCAGCAGGCTTTATTTTTCACTCTGGGCTATTGCACAGCTCTCTGTTTCACAGGAGGTTGACTGATTGTCTTCTTTTAACTATCCACAGTTCCAGTTCAGTACATCTTCTATAAAATTGTCTGTCATTTCCTCCTTCCATGAAGTTAATGGCAGAATACCCCTTGTCTCCAGCAAGAATAGGTTCAAACCTTTTATACTTTACATTACCCTTGTGACTAACTCCTTTCTGCACTACTCTAAAAAATTATCCAATAAAAGTGAGATTTATTTCTCTTTAAACTGTAGGAAATCTATTTTGATACTTATAACTGGATAGGAGAGATCCTTGGGGAGTTCTGAAAAAATCTTGTTGTACTGCTAAGTCTTACCAGAAGAAACATGCCCATATGGGCTACATAGAGTGAAATGCTCCCACTTCAAGAGACAGAAAGCATATAGATGGTCCAGTGAAGGGCCACCAAAACAATGAGAGGATTGGACAACCTGACACACAAAGAGAGGTCAAAAAGGGAACGTGCTTGTGCAACCCACACAGGAAAAGTCTTGAGGAGATCACTGTCTTCAAAGAAATCAAAAATAGCTATAGAGAAAAGGAAAGTGCTCTCCTGTCTTCAGCACCATGCATGGAAACAGGACAACAGACCAGGAACACAAGTTGTTTCAGGGGAAATTTCAGAAAAATATTCTTCCTTGTGGAATAGGCAGAGAAATAGTACAATTTCTCCTGCTAATTCAGCTTCACATGACTCTGAATAACCTAATCTAAAGCCCTTGCACCAGAAGGTCAAGCCAAATGATCTCAGAAGCCTCTTCCAACTTTAAACTTTCCTATATACTTGCAATTATAACTTTGAAATTTGTATTTACATTTTTTCCTGAATGGATCACTTTACCTCCCTCATCTCCATGAAGACAATTAAGTTTCCAAACTGTGGCTTTCTCAAGACTGTTAGAGAATATATTGCAGCAGCTTAAGAAATATTCAAAGACAGTTTTTTAAAAGTTGATTCATGGAAGTGGATAAACTTTCCCATGTTATTAACAGACCACTTGGCATGCGTAATGAAGTGCAGTGAAAATATTGTCTTATATATTTAACCTTCTTCATGAAATCACGGAATCATATCACAGCTGAGACTAGAAAGCATCTCTAGTGACCGGCTACTTCAATCCTCCTTCAAGAGCAGGGTCTTCAAGAACAGGTGGCCCAGGACAGTGTCCAACTGTGCTTTGAATATCTCCAAGGATGGCGACTCTATAGCCTCTCTGGGCAATCTGTGCTACTCTCACAGAAAAAGTGGCGTTTTTCTTAGGTCTTGATGAAACTTCCTGTATATTAGTTTGTGTTGTCCTGTCACTGGGTGAGCATCTAGCTCTGTTTTCTTCACTCATCCCTGAGTTCCCACTCTCTCAGCCTCTCTTCATATTTAGAGATGTTCCATTTCCTTAGTCATCTTCATGGCTCTTTGTGCTCTAATACGTCCATGTCTCTCTTATACCAGCGAGCCCAGAACTGGACACAGAGATTCAGATATATCTCACCAGTGTTGATCAGAGAAGGGTCACCTCCCTAGACCTGCTGGCAACAGCCAGCCTAGTACAGCCAAGGAAGCTGTTGGCTTTTTTTGCTGGTTCATGGTCAACTTAGTGTCCACCAGGACCCCCTGGTCATTCTCTGCTGATCTGCTTTCCAGCCAGGCAGGTCAGAGTTATTGCCTTGGTCAAATAAAGGTGTATCAGTGGCCTCAGCAATGCATCATGCCCTCTCTGCAGCTGTGAACAAAACCACCTAATTGTTTTTAAAATGTCTTTTGGCAAATAACATTTGGACTTCCTCATGTTGCTTTTAATGTGGAAGCCCTAAGAAACAATTCACTGTATTGTGTTGAGAGCTACATGCAGCCCCTTACTTTTTCTTTATTGCCCAGTAGGAAACTGTAAAGATTAGTCATTCTTAAAATAAAAAAATAATTTCTCTTAGTTCCTTTTCCTTAAATAAACCATGTTTTCCAGACAGGTAAATCACTAACTTGAATAGTCTGTAATGAGAAGGGACAGTAGACATCATTAAACTAAGGGTTACAAGTGCTTTTCAGTAGTCCTTTCCAGATTCTGAAGAGTTAAATGAACCTTGTTTGCTGCATTCATTTGATTAAAATGCTATGATTTGCAAATTAACAGTTGCAGATAGTGTAACTACTTCAAGTTATGTTAATTTTATTCTAACTTTAAGCAATATATACCTTTTAAAAGTGAAAGATTTTACAGGTATGAACGTCTACACTAATCAGGTTACCTGTCAACATTTGGCCCTCCTCCAAAAGTAATTGAAAGCCAAAGGAATTCTGTTAAATTTACACTCCAAGAGAAACTGTGCAGAGTTGTGCAGATTTACACCCCAAGAGAAACTAAACTATGTTCTTAGCATCAGTAAACTGGTAGATTTCCCCAGAGTTGGTAATCCCATGTGAGCAAGTTTAAAATGCCTAATTTTATTTTATTTTTGTATATATTTTCATATTCAACAGAATTAGAGTATCTTCATCATCATCATGGCTAGGCTTCGTGAACGAAGATTTGGGAAGGGCTCTACCCATGTTTGTAGAGTATCTTACATGTAGATAAAACCTATGGAATATAGTTTATTCTATATCTTCATAAAACACCCACTTTTCCATATATTTTTTCCTTTTTTTTTCAAGTTAACTTAGAATACAAATGCAAGTTATCACATAAGAATTTTGCAACAATACCTGGAGAACTTTATGCTTATAAACCACCAAATTAATTACACTTGCCAGTAACTACAGCTCTACTATCTATTTCTATGCTGAGATAAAATTTAGATGATAATTTCAATAAACTTAATTGCAATAAACTTAATATAACGCACAAGATTAATACATACTTGAAATGTATTTTTTTAATCAGTTTTACATTGTAATCATGGTTCTAAGTTGCCCACTGCCTTGCTTTTATATGAATATAAAATGAGCAAACTAATTACTGTTAGATCATAGTGATAATACCTTATACCCACTATAGTGGCCTCGCATTGCACCAGCGGGGGTTTAGACTGGATATTAGGAAAAATTTCTTCACCAAAACAGTGGTCCAGCAGTGGAACAGGCTGCCTAAGGAAGCGGTGGAGCCACCATACCTGGAAGTGTTCAAAAGACATGTAGATGGGGACATGGTGTAGCAGTGGACTTAGTGCTGGATTAATGGTTGTACTTAATCTTAGAGGTCTTTTCCAATCTAAGTGATTCCACGATTCTATATGGGTACAAAAATCTGCTCTAGGTGATGAGCAATGGAGAAATCTGCATATGAGAGCACAACATAAAGCAAATGAAA